GTATAAAAGCACATGAAAACAAGGTTTATGCCCCAGTGAATCCATGGAAAGGTATAGCACTCAGCCAGGGTCTCTCTTCCTTCACAGTATAGTCCTTAAAGCTAATTCAGAAAAGAATTGATACGAGGTCTTTTTTAGAACATTCATCTAAATGGAAAGCAATGCTAGGTTTTGTTACAGCTAAATTTCCTGGTCTCCCTCAAAACCCCTCTGAAGCCAGTCAGGCAAGCCTCTTCAATGAACCAGTTTTATAAAACTAAAATGCAAACAAACATATTCTGCTCAGAAGCAACAAGCTGATCTGCAGTACTCCCATCCTTTGATTATATTTTTTTCAATTAGAAGACAGGGGAAATGCACATTGTCAAACATGCCTACCACGCCCCCAACACACTCTGCCTTTTCATCTAATTCCAACCATTAAAAAAAAAAAAATCTATTTTCATTTACTGTCTCAGTTTGTTTATGGATATGTTGTAGCACTATTCCCCCGCTGCAATGAACATCAAATGCCAAACATTTACACACACATAAATATATATAAATAAATCAGGCAAACTTAGTAATATTTCCATGTTGCTGTAAATGGCCAGGACTATTTGTTACTCTGTTATTGTCAATGAATACAGGCTTTCAGAATAAAGTGCAAAACAGGCCAGTGGTGGCAGCAACCCACAGTCCCACTCAATAGCATTTTAAATGGGAACCCCTCCCCCACTCCTTTAATGGAGCTCTATCAGCACCCGCAAACAGCCATGCTGCAGGAAAACCAGACTTCCAAGGGTGGATTTAATTGCCGTAGCTTAGCAATTTGCTCTACTCTCTGCTCCTACGAAGTATTAAATCTGAAGTAATGAAAACAGCCAAGTTAAACCAAAGCGCAAGCAGCACAGCTGTCAGTTAACACAGAACGCTCTACGAGTCTTCCAGAAGAGCTAGATGGCATTCAAGCACTTTCAAAAACAGGATGGAAAGGATGATACAAATGATGAACCATAAGCTGCAAATGAGCTATAAACAGACAGTGAAGATGCATGAGAATCAAAAGCAGCAGACTGAGGAAAAAAAAAAAAAGGGAAAGGGGCAAAAAAAAGCAGCTTCAGCTTGACTACTCTAGATTTATTTGAATGGGAGCAGGACTTAGGGTCCTCCTAGTTCTAACCTGAAGGAGCCCTGACTGAAAAGAAATATTTTAGTTATTTCTAAGCTCATTGCAATTCTGCCTCATTTGAGATGAGCAGATCCACTCCCTCAGTGCTCTAAGGGAAGGAAACAGGAGTGCGAGCCAGTTCACTTGTCCAAAAATAGTTTAAATGAGATTCACTTGGAAACAAGATGACACTGCAGAACTGCTGAAATTGCATTTTACATATTCAAATATGGAAGAGGACAATTTGGTAGATCCTTCTTTGACAGGAGGAGGGATGAACTCTTGCTAACAGAAGGAAGAGAGAAAGTGACCAGGGATAAAGCTAGCCCGGGTTAAGAGGCAGTGGACCTCCGGAGGTGGAGCAGTGAGGCAGGACTAACACAAAACATGGTGTCCAACTGCAACAAGCGCATGGACAGAGAGAAGACAAGCTGGTATAACCAGCCTGAAGTACTTGCAAAGGCCAGTTCCAGAATGACCATAAACAGTCAATGCAGATCCCCCAGATACATAACACCCACCACAAACCCCCTCCTCCCTACTGCTCACAGCTCCTTGCATGTCTCAGGTTGACCACACAGTGCATGCCACAGCACAGCTGTATGCAACTGGGCATCACTGAATGTTTCACATGCACTCCCTGCAGTTCATCCATGGAGCACAAAGACACCAGAGCAGACAGCATGGAGGTCCCAGGGCACCACTGGCATCCCCAGGAAACCGTGGGTACCTAGGGAACAATGAGATATGGCAGCTTGTGACAATCCCCTCCTCTACTGACAGCCACAGAAGGATAGAAACACAACTAATAAAGATGATGGGAAGAAAAACGACAGAGCGAAAAAGGTTCTTGATGAGACGGACCAGGGGAACTGGTAGATATATGGCATCCTTCCACAGCAGATCCGTCTTTTACTTTCTTTGAATTATTCTTGGTTAAATTAGAAAAAAAAACTATTCCCTACAACACTTCAGAATATTAAAACCAAAAACCTAGCCAGGGAGCAAGAGAGAGATGAAACTACACAGTGCTAGTGCTTAGACTGTGTGCTCTTTGGGACAGAGGCCATCTTGTTTAATACTCATATAGCCCCTTGTACCATGGAGTCTCTAGCCCATGACCAAACCTCCAAGGTGCCAGCACAATACAAAAACGCATTCAAAACAAGTACTGCAATGTCCATGTTTTTTTAAATGGGACCATAATTTCTCCCAAGCGCAGGTCCATGACTGTAAGCAGTAGCTGATACTCTTATTGTTTGCACTGTTATTATCTCATTTAATCAAAGTTAAATGACACTGGAATGAATGCCCAACTCCCCCCTACATCACTATTTCTCCCACTATTGAGAATTACAGATCTTTTTTTTTTCCCTTAAGTAGCTAAAGTCTTAGACTATAAGCTCTTTTGAACAGCAACACATCACCTTTATACATCCAATTGTGATATCAAAAAGGACCATTATAAGAATCTCACCAGACTTCCTGTACATAGATCACCACTTAAAAAGTTCTGCACAGAATCCAATAACTAGAGCATGTATTTTGGAAAGACATACAATCTTGGTTTAAACACATCACATCCACTTATAAATTGTTCAATGAGTAATTAGTCTCACTGTTTTAGGTTACATTTTGAAGGGTTAGTCATTTGATTTTGCATCTTTTACCTGTATAGGTCCTGCATGTGAATCAGTTGCTTCCTAACCTTCTCTCCAATAAACTGAATAAGTCAAGTTGCCCAAGCCTCTCATTTCAAGACATATCTGTACAATACTCAAAAATAGGACTCTTCAGGATTGGGACCCCATACTACATATAGGTAACAACTTACAGAGACAGAAACTTAGTCAACCAAGCCCGTGGCATATCTGGATATAACAGCATGCTGTCCATTAGCATGAGTGCTGAGACTACAAATGTCATGATTCATCAGCATTTAAACTGTGAAGGCTAAAATACATATATGCTTTCAATCTTTATTTTATACTGAAGACAGTTTAAAAAGGGTGAAAACACCTAGGCTTGCAACTAAAGAACAAGAAAACCGATGGGAAGGGATTCAAGTAATCTTTGCACATATTTTTCCCTCCAAATCCCAGCCTTCAACTTGCCCATGAAAACCACGTGCAAGAAAATCCAGCACTTCTAGCTAAAAATCAGCATGGACGTCTGGTCAGTCCAAACAGCTCACCTGGAAAAACTGCACATAGCACAGACAATGACTGAGAATTTGTCCCTCCACATAGATTTTGTCAAGTTAAGCACTGTAGATACATTATTAAAAAGCAACAAAATGTGTCCATGGTTTTTTATTTTTAAATTCCAGTGACAATGGTTTTTAAATATTCTCCCCACCCTTATTACAAGAGCCTCTAATGAAGATGGCCGTAAATAGAAAGGGAAATTAACAAGCCTTTTTTCATTGTCCACTGTGCAAAAAGCTGCAGAGAGCCTGACTGCAGCATGAAAAATTTAGATTATTAAAGCTAAGCATCTTAAATCTGATTTATGAGGAACAGAGGTTAAATAAAATCTGTACATGATTTCTGCATTTCAGGCATGCCAATGAGCTTCTTTTCATCTCCTCTGCAGAGCTGTTAAACAGTCAGCCAGTGTACTGCACAGGTAGATGAATTGGATCAGCCAGGCAAACCTTAACCCATTTCTGTAGCACATTCTAGGCAGTTCATAATGACAGGCTAAGTCTTGGTCGCCACCGGAGTTCACCCCACACAGGTTCTGTACGCCAAAGGAAGGAGAAACGACATGTAGGATGATGACAGCTGCCTCCCAGAGAGGAAAGGCGGGGATCGTTCTATTTTTGATGTCATTAACAGTACCTCAAAAACAACCACATCTCTTTCCTACCTGAACCCTCCCATACACTCACATTCTTTGGAAAAGAAGAAAACAATTAGTATTCCACCTCCTTGGTCTCAAATAAGCTGTCTCCGCTTCCAATGAGTTTAACAGTTCAAATCTAGGTTACCAGGTGCAACATGCCTTGGGCTTACTACAATGAAGTGGCTGCCAGTATCTGCCAAGGGCTTTTCCCTTTCCATTTACAAACAGAAAAAGCAAAAAAAGAGAGAAGACTCTCTCATAAGAGATGGAAAATGACTTTGGGTGGCACAACATTTAGAAATGGGGTTGGACCCACATTCCTGTGGAATTACTCTGGACACAGTCAGAAGTAATTAACAGTATATGGGGGAAAAAAAAGAGGTAACAGAAACAGCTCATCAATTTTAGCATAATAGAGAAAACCTCTCTGTGAAGAATGGGGATACATGTACTGGAAAACAAAAGGGTTTTTCCTCTCCTTAAGCTACAGGAATATACCACAATCTTTACTCATTCAATGAGAATCACACTAGGCATCCATGTATACTGCCATACCAGGGGCGTGACCAGCTGCTGTACAGTATACTCAGGGATTTTACAAGACCATTTCAGACAGCAATTTAGAAAAAGCATGCGAGAGAGAAAATCACGTACGTAATCCTAGCAAACCTTGCATTTCTGTAACCCCACCCCACCCCAAAAAGCAGAAAAAAGCAAAATACCTATCAGGGATTTGCCTGCCTATTGTAACCCTACTCATGGCTATTACTATCATTATCAATTGCATCAAATAAGGTGATTCAGACACCATACATTCAAGCGGGTGCTCCCCCCAAGGCTACAGGAAACCCAAGGTTCAAGAATTATAAACATAAATCACACAATGCTGACCAGCACTGGGCAACAAAGCAACCTAACCCCTAGACACCATGACCTAAATCTCTCTTTCCCTCCCCCCCTCGATTTCTACAATTAAAAGGAGACAGCGGCATGCAGAGAGTACCTTTTTTATTTCTTCACCTCACAACCCGAAGGCAAGCGTCCCCCCACGTTAAAAGCAGGATTCTCTCTGCAATACCAAGGATGTGACGGACTGCAAAATATGGCACCTCGGATGTGAAAAGGAAAAAAAAAGCCCATCCTTTCTCTCCCTCTCCAGATCCACACCTACTGCAGTACCCACAGCCAACCTCTCATTCGCCATCACCACCACCATCGCGGCTGTCCCCCCGCCGGGAAACCCACCCTGCCGCCACGAACAACCCCCCAAAATACTGGGGGACAAGAAGGAGAAGGGGGGGCACCTCCGCCCCGAAATGCACGGCTGCCTGGGCACAAGGTGCAGCAGGGCGGGCAGGCGGCACCCACCGCTGCCGGGGGCAACAGAAGCCTTCTGCCACCAAGACCCCAGCGAGGGGGGGCGCCGCCGACGGGCTAGGGCTCACGCACCCCCGCCCCGTTTTGGAGGGGGAAAGTCTAGCAGCGAGCAAGGCTGAGGCGCACCCCCCCACCACCACCACCATCGGCTTCTCCTCCCCTTGCAAAGACGCTGGGCTGGGGCCGG